AGTTTAAATTATCTTGTGCTGTTTGTTTTTCAAACGGCTTTCTGGTCGCCACTGTGTATCGCTCATTTCATTCTTAAAAAACGACGAAAATATTACTCATTATATTCAAGTATAATGGACGAACTTTTTTAAACATTTTCCTCCAAATTTTAGGTTTCATATTAACAGACCAAGGATATGGGCAATGTACGTTGCAACAGATATTCACGGAAGCACTTGGACTTGTGTCCTTCTCACTCAGATTTTTAGATGTTCACGCAGGAATGGAACAATCATACGTTGAGATTTATTCGCATTTTGATTTTGATCAAGTCATTTCAATTTGATACCGTAACAATTGATTCGTTCGTACAGTTGGTTTGAAATGGTAATGTGTAGTATCCCGGTGATGATCGATTCCATTATCGAGTAAATAAAGCAGGAGGAGATCTTTATGGTAACATACAGCCAAGGTGGTACTGCGTTTTTCGTCATAGTGAATAGCTAGTGAATAGCAAGAATATCAAGAAAATTACTAATGTTTTTCCTATAGCATTCATCATGTCTCAAACTATAGCCCATCTCTGCCGAATATTGTGCGTTTATATTGAAGATATCAATGTAATAATATCTTTATCATTCAAAATTAATTTGGATATTTTAATAAATTTTAATAAAACTTACTAGCTAGTAAAACTTCTGAAATTACAAATTGTAATTGCTATAGCTGATAATTAAATGGAATTATTGATTTTAATGTCAGGCGAAATAATGATAAATAAAATTTTAACATCTTTGATCTTACAGATATTAATACATTTTATAGACAGATAAACATAGTCATACAAATTTGAGTCATTCAACAACCTTATACGATTGCAGGAAAAATATGCTGTGACAGATCGCATTTACAAACATTTTATTCCTACTTGTAGGTTTCGATCAAAAAGTTAATATTAATTAATATTTATTAATTGTATTAATTATCATTTGAACTTGATTCTATTTCAACGATTTCTCTTGCCTCTTATCTTGCAGTGTGATACTGCTGGTGCGTTTGTTAAGCTATTCATTTTAGACAGCTGTTGAATTCAGTTTAATATACAATAATCACATATAAAATGTCAATAAAATGTTATAAAATTTTTCTTATGTTCTCTCTTTTCACAGCCCGGAAATTTTACTATGTCATAATAGTTACTTATTTTCAGATTCGTACAGCGTTAATTGCGAACCTTCAACTGGTCCTGAATTTTTCAATTTTTTGTTTTCTGACAATTGTTTTCGACGTCCAATAGTTGTAATATTGCTCAATACTCAGAAATTGTTGGTACCATGCAAGTCTTTTGTGCATTTTAATTTCCTGTGGAGAAAACACGCGAAGACGTTGGTGTACAACAACTTTATAAATCTTATGGAATGTTACAGAAAGTAAATAATAATAATTATTAGTTTCTGCAAGTAATTTATGCTTAATGCTCGCTTTTGTGTTACTAAAAATATAAATGATCACAAATTTCCTTTTGTTTTCCTTCTTTCATAACAAAAATGTACACAATATAGAATTCATTGTATCATACCGTAATTATTGTTAATATCTCGATAACTAGTAAATACTCCAAACTGAAATTTTGT